CCCCGCTTCGTATTCAAGACGCGAAACGTGCTGTCATTCGCGAATGGCATGTGTCTGGAATTCGAAATAGGGAAGCTTTTACGCTCCAAAATGGCGAATCCCACGCGATTGTCTCTATCTGATCCTACGGCCCCAGGCGAGCTGGAGGGGCTCCCGCCGTCGATGAGGTGGGGGCCCTCGGCTACGTGCTCCTCTGCCAAGGGCGAGGGGGCAGCGTCCACACAGACTGGAGGCGGGGAAGATAAAACTCTCCGACTGCCTGACTCCGTCCGGGGACCGGCTAAATTGGAGTGGAGGACAAATCCGGGGCCAGCCCTGACGTACAGGACAAACTAAACCCGCGAGCGGGGAGGGTAGTCAACCACGTTGGGTTGATGCCCATTATGGCTTGCTCTACGCACATAAAGGTCAAAAGGGTGGTCCATCGGACTCTTGTAATAATTTGCCGGAAGTAATGGTCATTATTTAAGCCACCATAATCCTCAATCAAAATAGTTGGGCGAATAGTTATTCTCCCTTCAATGTTAAACCTGTGCTTTCCTCCGCTCTTCATTTTGTCATTAACGGGATTTATAAAAAGCTCGGGCTCGTTCGGCATTGAAGGACGCAAACCGCCTCCCTGAACTCGACCGGGAAACCGCCATGTTCGCATCGAATATTCGCCAAACGCACGTACATTTACTTCCATGTCCAGAGACATTCGTTCAAATCATGATTAGGCTTATCCCTGTCATGGCCTCCGGAGCTGGGAGATTTTTAGTCCGACGCTTAGTTGGGCTTGCGAGTTTATTCTCTTCAATCGACACACAACGCTGTTTCTGAAGCGAGCAGCTGAGCTGGACGACGGGCACCGCAGACATGGCATGAGTTCGGGAGAGTGAGTTTGCAAGCGGTGATGTTGGCGGTACCCACGTTGCTGGAAAAGGGTGCCTGGAATAAGTGAGCTGTCCCGATTCGATATATCCGCTTGCGTTGATCTTCTGCGATCTGCTTGTACCTACGGAAGGAAGGAGGAGTCGGAGTGAGATATACGGCGAGTTTAGAAGAGTGACATGCAATTAAAGTAAACAAGGTCGAGTATAGCCTCTTCGCCTATGAGCATATTTATTTCAAATTTGCTACCAGAATCTATGTGTCGACTTCGGCATAGCATCTGTCATACGCCAGGCTCATGTTGATCATCTAACCTTCCTTTTTCGTGGACTTTCAGTGAATCATTGCTCTTAAGTGTATTATAGTATTAAACTCGTGACTCACCCGGATTCAAAGAGTGTGAACCTTTATATACTTGTACTAGCTTCGACTTGTAGCGGAAATCTCGGGACCATGTCAATTGCTTTTCTTTGGTCATCAGAATCTCAACTTATTCTATCAAGAAAGATGATGTGTTTGACATGCATATGTTTGGAAGAAGATAATATTAGAAGTAAAAAGTAGAAAACTCATCTTGAATGATACTCTTTCCTCGTATGGATTATACCGATACCTTTTGTTCTAACACCTCGTTCATTAAGAAACTTCCATTGATATTTGAAGAAGTTGCTTATAGAGGCAAGAAATAACAATGAGGTAGAAATAGAGGAAAGAAAGCATCCTAGACGCCGGAGATTAAGGGAAGATTCGGGCTAGAAGAAGAGCAGCGCAGGATACTGGTATTGGTTAAAGCGTTGCATTGAATGTATGTTTTATCTCATGCAGAGAGCAGTAAAAGCTCGGATTGGGTTCAGATGATGCATTGGATGGAGCGAATATTGAAAGTTTGGGAAGGAGTGCCAGACTCACTAATTTTTTTTGGTCTGGCAAGCAATAAATCGCACAAGTTGACAACAAAGAACAAATGTGTTTGAAAATATTACTGCATAGATCCTGAATAAAATTTTAAAGACAATTTTTTTCCAGCGCTAGATTCACCTCTTTGGACTTGTATATTGCTGTCAAGAACTTCAGTTTGCACCAGAGATTGAACTTTAATCTTTGGAGTTTAAAATAGTATGGCGTTTCAAAATAGTCGGGTAGAGTTTTATGATGAGACATTAAACTTGTCTCATTTGTAAGATTTAATGTTATACCTTTGAAGTTAAGTATCAGTAAATTATGAATCTAAATATAGTGAAATTTTTGTTTTACAACGTAAATTGTTATATTCGTTATAACATTCCTATTATAGAACTCTACTTGAGATCGACAATAAGAATTCAGGTGCATTGAATGGACACCTCTTTATATCAATACAACGTTTCACTTGAAGGTGATTTAGAGTTATGATTATCAAATATGTGATAAATAATTTGAAATACAAGTGTAGGGCTGGTATTGACATAGATTCCAAATTCTGTATAGTCTTCACTTGTGTGAAGAACATTTCCACATAGGTGATTCCACATAAATTATTTCAAAGATATCAGTAGTTTTATGTATGATATCTAAATCATTCTTGAAAGATATACCCTGTAGCAAGGAACATGTAACTAATTAGTAATTCGCATATCATTTCTTCAGATGAAATTCATTGCTGCGAGGAATGACCGCACCTCTCATACCCAACAAAACAGAGGAGATGGTCTTCAGCCTCAAGAATATGATCGCTTCGTTTGACGGCTTTGCACACTTTTGTGAGCTTCATCTTACCGAAAAAGCACGAAAGTAGTAATTTCAATGAGACACGAGTGGATGGCGTAATGCCCGCCATGCCCACAGCAATACTATAATCGCTTTGGCTTTGGAACTTCAGAAACATATGATGACATTACAATATTTTTATCGACTGTGATGATGACGGAACACAACTAATTATCGATTTTACCAGATGTATATTGTTGATTTATTTGCAAAATGAATTAAAATATATTCTACTCACTGTCGATTGAAAACATAATTGTACTTTTTTGGAAGATCGGACATTCATCCTGTAAAATCTGATTGTGAGTTGTTCTAAATATGAAATAAAATGAATACATGATATGTTAGGGTAAAAGTTGATAATGAGTTTTCACTTTGTTTCTAGCAAAATATATTTCCAAGAGAGTAAAACGTAGTACCAGTTAAAGAGAGCCTTACAGAATTAATGCCATATGCATTTCACACTCTAGAATGAGTAAAGTGTATTTGTATTATCCTATTGTGATTGAATATTAATGGATATTTGATATAGTCAAAGACGTGAACGAGGCCATTATTTAAAAGGTGAATTAAATTCCATGAAATAATTATTCATATTTCGTTTATTCACTCAAAGATGAAGAGTACAGCTTAATTTAGTTTTTTATTTCAATTTCAAAGGTAATAATTTGACCATGATTTTTTTTCCTCGATGAAGTTGTTACAAGGAAAGGTTTTAGCTCTGATGCTAAGATGAAGTAGCATGTTATCATGGATTATCTGGGATTTGTAATCATTGTAAGAAGCTAATGATATTGATGGTCAACATCCATGTAACGAACAGATGTTTGGGACTTCAAACAAGATGACAAAGTCAAAAGAAGCAGATGTAATTTAAGGAAAAAAGTTTTTAAAATTTTTCTATTTAAAAGTAGCGAAATTGGATGTCGAGATAAAAAAATTTTGTATCAAATATCATGGCATCAAAAAATGCTATATTTTCAAAATACATGTAATTTTGAAAACAGGTTGTGTGCTTATGTTAGAGAAGATGATCACTTGCAATATATGCAGAGTTGAGATGGATAGTGTGCATCAATATATAAATTTCAGAATTGAAACAAATGGTGAAGAAGTACAAGAAGATGGTGGATATATTGTCTAACATTAACTATGAGAGAAAAAAAATAGGCGGATGAGGAATTAAATGATGTATGAAAACTATTTTGTTTGGTTTCTGATCATTAAGCAAGAAGTATCATCATGTTCCATTTTATTTATATTTTATTTATTCCAAAAGATTTGCATAAGGATGAATGGTTAGGTATTAGTAGATATATCAAGTGATTGAAACAAAGAGTGCTTAGAATGATGAAAAGTTCAAATCTCTAGAAAGAAGTAGTACAGAGCATGTTGCAAGATGAATAACTCTGAAAGAGAACAAAATGAGTAATGACATTACTCAACATGTAATAGAAGTGTAAGCAATGTTTGATGCTAAAGTTTCATGCGATGTAAAAGGTGGTCGTAACCTCTCATGAAACATATGGATGCCATTTTTGTGGAGTTAGATGAGAACAGTCTTCAAAGAACATTACAAATTAAGGTGGATTTGCATAATCCATAGTGTTGTGATTTACAATTGAAGTGAAAATAATAATATTTTTAATCGTATTTCCTTACGTTTTTGTTTCGGAGCTAATGAAAGCTCTTGGATTTGACTTGATCATAGACTGAAAATTTTGTACTCTCCTTAAGCTATTTCTTTCACATTGATAAGATATTAGCTTAATTCACACATTTACATTTTCATTTGCTTATGTGTGAAGGTGAAATATCTTAGGAATAAGAATTTATTCACATGATAAAAATTTAACTTGGACTGCGCAAAGTAGTATTTAAAATGATTCTAGCGTATGTGTGCTGGCCATGGTACAAGAACATGTATATCTTACATGACAAACTATTTGTATTCCTTATTATCCATTAGGATTGAGGTATAAGTATAGTTGTCTTGAGATAAACAAGTGGTAAATATGTAGATTATTGATACTTCAAAAGGAAATATACTTAGAGTAATTGATTTTAAATGATTCAGTATAGAACGGGCAAGTTCAACTATTATAATCAAAGTTTCTACCGAATACTGAAGTTATGTAGAATTGTAGGTAATATATACAATATATCTAAAATGTGCTCTAGATATTCCTATACTCACTAGCATGAGACATCAAATTGTTTTGTGGATTGTGCAACCTCTCTTCTCAACACATTTCCAATGCTATGGTGACATTAATCTCGTTACGTGACTCTGCGTTGGATGTAGTCTGAGCTACACAAAGTGGAAGTATTTTTCATATTCATTCTTCGAGATTTTTTTTGAGCGACGAGGCGCTAATTTTCGACACGATCGTTGTAACGAGCTGAGAATGATTTCTGAGCCGTTGTGAATATTGCAACTCTCCCTCGTTTCGACGATTTGGGTTCTTCATGTACCAATTCCGGCGGTGAGTCAAATCTCGCAATCATTGCACGAAATCTACGAGCAAAACGCTGATGTCTCTCGCCGCCTCCCTCGTTCACGATCAACGCACCAACGAATCTGCGCATCGCGTGGTTTCGATGAAGCAGACGAAGTACGAAATCGGGATGAAAAGTATGTGCAAATGCCAGGAAAACACACTTGCGAGGTCGAGCAAAAAGGTCCACTCGCAAGAAGAAGGATGGATCGGAAGATCCATGGTGACATTTCGTATTGTGCAAACTTCGGGGCATCGACGTAGCTCGCTTGGTTCTTCGCATCTTGGCATTTTTGTCGCTGCAGTGTGCTGGGCGGATGGATTTGCTCTGACGCCACGGGAGTAGAGTGCCCTTCGATGGATAGGGTTTGGAAACGGAGCATGCGAAGGGCTCGTAAATCACGGACGGGAAGAAGAATGCTCGCTCGAGTCATACGAGCCCTGGACGTTGTAGCCTTCTCCGAAGGCGATAAAATCTGAACGAATGGGCGGTTGTTGACGAGATGACCGACAAATGATCTCGTCTCCAAAGCCGGTTTGGAGCTATTGAGGGGGGAATGGTGTCATTGGGAAGATACTTGCGTTCACCGCACATGATTAGGGCGTGAATACCGGAGTCGAACTTTCGTTCTGCTTTTTGACGCTTGAACTCCAATCCGGGGATGGATGGAGAGAGCGGCGAGGGACGGAGGGAGGAGGGGGCAAGTGAGGAGTAAAGCGAGTTGAGTCGAGGAAGATGGATCCCACCGATTCGCCGAACCAGCCACACATGGGCTTTGCTTTGACTCTCGATGCTCTCGCACTTGCCGTTTGTTTGGATCATGAACTTCATCGATGCTGCCAGAAACCTGGACAACGACTCCTCGACTTTGACTTCATCATAAATAAATAAGATCATGCACAATATCCACAGGGAGAAAAGTATGCGGAGACCTGCTTAATAATCGCAAGATATTAGGGGCTACTTTCACTACAGCTCATCTTGGAATGGCGTTCTTCTAGAGGAAAAAAAGGTCTTTTCCTGAAGCCGTATCAAGTCCACGACCCTCGGCGCTATTAGTCATCGATGTATCCTACGCGATGTGTCTACACCGAAAGAACAAACGAACGACTTCCAACTTTTCATGGAGCAGAGTAAAGTTATGAAAACGGAAAGAAGTGGGCAGATGGAGTTGGAGGGCAGAAACCGAACCCAGTACGATTTTCATCGAAAGTGTCATCGCCACACTACAACCCTAGAGGATATGGAGCTATGAGCTTGAGTTTCCGATGGGTCACGGAACTAGGCAATACTTTGGCGCCTCTGCCTACTCCGGTTCTCTTTCTTGACCAGAAATGGGGATCAGGGCTCATTTTCTGTCCCTCGTAGCAGTTATAAGAATACGAAGGATCGTCCCCTTAGACTAACGAGGATAATGTACTTTGTCTTTCATTTTTTTAAAGACTTTCCTCTTCAGGCCGCATCGAGGAGTTGAAAGAAAGTAACGGAGTACGAAGTGAAATGAGGCGAGGTTTCAATTTTACTTGAAGTTCAGAGAGTTAGGAATTTTCGTGCTTGAATGTGAAGAGAGATTCAAGCGTCTAAACCATAGGAGAACCTGAGGACCTTCCAATGTCGAGTCTGATTTGAGAAATTTCTCAGAGGAGAGTTGTCCGTAGAAGAGAAAGTAGCACAGCGTGAAGACATATGATTAACTAAGAAATACCTTTTCACGCTTACTTGACTGCACTGAGACTGACAAATCCAGGGACACAGGCGGATAAATATGATCAAGCGAATCGAAAAACGGAGACAGAAAAAACGATTTCATAGGAATATATCTCACATGTCAGAAAAAGTCTCAATCCGAGGTTCACACGTGGACTCCTCGTGGATTCCGAGCCTATTTTGATTTGAGCCTAAAAAAGCTTGAATGTAAGAAGCATGTGACCACGAGCGTGATCTGCTGAACCTGGTGACACTCAAACATTCAGCCTCCCCGAGAACAGAGTGAAAAAATACCAGAACTTACGTCTGACTCGCCTCCACTCCACGGCAGAAAGAATGAATTGTGAAGCAGCTCGGGCTGGTCGTCGAAAAACTGCGACAAGCGCCAATCCTCGGTCTCCAAACCTCAATGACAGAGTGCAATCTGTTGCTCTCGACGTCCGAGCACGGGGAGATTCAAGACGCCCCGGTTTGACTCGAGCGAGCTGCAAAGAACATGGACACGGGAGCGAGGATCGCAAACTCTCGGTGAGCAGAGCAGAGTGCACATTGCGAATGCGACACACGAGATCGACGTCCATCGACGAGGATCAGGAGGATCGTTCTTCCACGAGCCGAAAAGAGGCGAAAATAGACGAAAAGAAGAAGTTCGTGCTTTTCGAGCACATTTATTCGGCAGAGTATCGTCCATGTGATTCTGCATGCCGCAAAATGATTGACCTCGACCTCTGGATCGGTCAACGTCTGAAGTGACCGCCGTAAGCAAGTGAGAGTACGTGGTCACTTCGACGGACGGAGTTTAGGGCTGCCATCGGATTGGACCGAGTCGACCCATTTCCCCCGACATAATGGTCGTCGCCATCCCGACCACGTCCAGTTTCCGACTCGGTTATGCCGATCGTGAACTACGTATGCGTGCGCTGGTGAGGTTGGAATTATTACTTTCCTGCAGTCGAACGTACGTACGAACGGCCCCAGAGTCCACGGGTTTCGGGTTCCCAGTCGAAAACTCTCAGAACCGACGATATAGTCAGAGAAATCGAACACGCATAGATTTTTTTTCTCGAACTTACATTTTGTGGTACGAAACAGGAGTCCACTAGGATACCGAAATAAGGTTATCAAAATTAGGATGGGCTAGCCCCCATTGTATCATATGCCATTTATTGTATTCCAATTATATAGATTAAAAAAAGTTTTATTGAACATATGTTTTAACATCAACAAATGCTAGTAGTATAGCATTTTTCACTAGAATATTTTCCACTATAGACTAAGAATAATGATACCTCATTCGTTTGAGAATGATGAATGGGAGTAACCTAATGTTAGAATTCTCTTTGTTCACTCCCCAAAACATTGTCTGCCTAATTATAAGCACTCGTTGCTCCGGTACATAAAGTCTTATTTTGCACAAATTTTCCTCTGGTACTAGTTATTTTACCACAAATATACTCCGATCAAGTTTATTATATACTGGCAAGAATTTTAAAAAAAGTAGTCCCAATCATTGGAAAAATGATATCGCAACAAGAAACTTGATTCAACTGCGAAAAAAGGAGTAGCCTGATATATGCCTGCTTTCCGGCGATCGATTTTGAGGTTCAAAGCTCAATCTTTCCAACATGTTCATCATTGTTCTCAAAAACTGCAAGATTTGACATGATTGTCAATCGATCGGTGGCAAATTGATTTCGAAAAAAGGAGTTGTATACTATAAACGTGCGAGCAGAACCTTCCTTTACTGCCGTCCAGAAAACTGGTCGACTCAAGAAATGATCTTGTGTTTATGAGAGCGGACCCATCACAGTCTTGCAAATCAATCGAGTCTGCCATTTTCCTGGGAACGGTGGGGTAATACAGCAGATCCTACTCTTTGCATCCTTGGTATGGATGCAAAGAGCCGAGTGTATTACAGAAATGTAGTCAAGACGATATCAATCTTCATAAATAATTATTAAAGGTGAAATTGATATAATATCTCCGTAATAAATATGCCAGAAACAATAAAATTATATCTTTGTATTTAAAATGGTTATTCTTATCTAGATAATATTGTTTAATCTATTCTAAACAAAAATAAAAAGTAAAAAATTTGTAATTTTTTTTACATCTTTTAACAATTAAAAAAAGATGTAGTGACGTACACTATTTACTAGAATGAAGAATTGTTGCGTAGTCATGATGCATGAAGTGAAGAACGAATACACTTCATGGATCGTACTGAATCTTCGTGAAATCCATAGCTGAATACAAATCAAATGCACCTCTTTGCTGCCTTTTGTTTTCTCAGTGGAAGTGGACGTTGGACGAATTCATCTTCATTTGATGGGGAAGTCTTGCGTTCTACTTGTTGTTGCTCGTAGAATCTGGAAATGGCAGCCAGACTATGGGGAAGTGCTGATTTGGTTGGTTGGATGGATGGATGGTGGCTGCACTAGCGAACATGAGATTTTAGCACTTGCGAGAGTACATTTGAGATTATATGCTCTTGTGGATGTGTGGCTGTGAAGTCGATCGGGTGATTCCGTTACTTGATCGACTTCACGTAACCGAATCACGTTGTGCATCTTGGCGGCTGAAGAAATACCATCCCGACTCACCTCCTTCTCCATGTGAAGGAAGTCTACGTGAAGTGCTGTGACAAGAGCGAGCCTGGTCGATGGAAATCGGACTCAAGCAGTCAGTCAGTCAGTCAATAAGAGGGCCCAGTTCTGAATTGGAGCTTTGGCACAAGACAGTGAGTTGTGGAAGAAAGACAATAAATTAGATCGAGAAGGTCTAGCTAGCTGTGATCATGGAGATCGGGGTTGGAAAAAGCTTCGAAGTAATTAAGCAAGCAATTGACCGAGACTTGGATAAGCTCCTAAACGATTCACTTTCTGACGACTGCAAGAATCTTCTCAGGACTCGGGGTCTGCACTTTATGTGGAAATCGAGTCCTCCTCGCAATGCCGAGAACTACTCTTCGAGTGGTCGGTCGGTCTATCCTCCTGATCTGCCGAAGAGAAGTGTAAACAGAAGGACTCGTTCTACCCTCCGATGGTTAAGAACCGACCGAGCCTCGAGGGTCGAGGCTCGACCCTCGAGGCCCTCGTTCTCCTGAGGCTGCTCGTGAGGTGCGGTGCCGGGCCCTCGGGGAAGATCTTGAAGGAGATGGAGATGGAGATGGATAATGGATGGATTCGCCACTCATGCTGGAGATATGATTGAGAGAGTTCGCTGGAGGCACTCATGTGTGTCAATCAGCTGACCAGTCCAGTCTGCGTGGAAGTTTGAACGATCCACACATCTGCTTCAGCTTTCGTGCAGCGACCCGCTCGTAGGAGACGAGACGAGGAATCTGGTAACTACTTGTTGCATCCAGAGTCTGAGGGCTGCAAGCTTTCCTCTCTCATCGAGTGTGTGTACTTGCTCGGGCTCGAATCGTCAAATCTCCTGAAAAGTGCCAAAAGGTAGGTTTTGCCTCCACACGGCACTTCGCCACAGAGCTCGTCGCTCGCTCGACTCGCATGAGTTTCGTGGCAATCCATAGCCTGGGATTTGACGCATCGACGTAGACGAGAAGAACATGCCCGAAGATACGTCATTATGAATCGACATCCACTACCATTTCTCTGCCCTCACGTCCAGTAAAATCTACTGATCGGACTAACTCGTTGCCAAGGCAATGAGTGCAGGTAGATAATTGGATGTCCCATACTTTCCCTCGTCTGAGAAAGGTTGGCAAATTTTGTACATGCGATCATGAAGCGTGGTTGTGGTTTCGACTGGATAAGTTTTCTTCAGGTCAATGACACTGATATCACCATTCGGAAGTCTAACAAGTGGTTCTTAACACATAATTCCACGGACATTGAGTTTGACAAGCTAAGTTGGCGAGTAAAGAGTGCAAGACAATGGCATGGAAATTAAGAAGACGGTGAGTATTCATAATGTCCTGCCGCTACCCTAGGTAGAAGCCTTCTGGTCAGAATTCAGAAAAGGCTTCAGTTTGTACGGGTGATCGGAAGAAAGCGACAATCGGGGACCCAGCTGTCGCCGAGATTCATTGTACAGTAGGCACATGCTACTGCCTCGACTACATTTCCATTTTCGTATCGTTACGTGAGTTCGACAAACTGTGAAAAACAATCTAGAAACCAACTTCCAAAACGAAGTGGTCTAGAACGACCACGACTGTATCTCGCGTGGTGGGTGACCGAGACGGGAACGACGAAATTGTCAACGGGAGGAAAGTTACGAGGCAGTGCAGTAATTCTTCTAAGTATAGAAATCTATCGCCCTCGACGTACGATTCAATCGCTTTCAACCGCTCGGCCACTCTCCCTGTGATGAGTAGGCTTCTACTTTCTGGTACCTCGGGACTCTAGTGGCAAACAGGTCAATCCACCGGGTGGTGTAATTTCGTCAGATTCATTGTACAAGTAGAAGGATTACCGTCCCCCTTCGACGTGCATTGCTATAGACGACTTGCATCATATCATCACTCGTAAAGTAAGGTGAACAGACATAAAATTAGTGACAAGCTGACCAAGCGTGCTTCAGTTCGACATGAGGACTGATAAAGCCATCTGTACTTTGGCAATCTAGCAAGAATGAGCAATTGATTCAATGGTGTGTCGTGCCCGAGGCACGGCACACCATTGAATCAATTGGTGGATAGTTTTGATGAGCGAGTGAAACCCAGCTGACCGTTTCTTCTGGGCGATGCCGAGTTCTTTCAAAGAGACCGTCCCAAATTTTAAGGCTGCCCAATATAGACTGCAGTCACGCACACCAAGGATGATGCATGCTGAACTCAAGAGACAGGATTCCGCCTGGCCTTGCTTAGTGCAAGGGAAACTCATCTAGCTTTCGAGGAATTGTGCAGATGACACGGCCATCGTGGCTCACTTCAATGCTGAGCACTAACTTCGCTGAAAGATTTCATCGTGTATAATCCAAACTTCGAAGTTGACTGAAAAACCAAGTCAACACTCTGCTACCAGAACTAGCAGCAGATTCTTAGTATCTTGTTTTGGTACACATGGTAGGTGCAAGATCTACACTTATGCTCATCCACTGAATTGTCTGTCAGGCCTATGGCACATGCGGGATGATACCTGCTTTGCATACAAGGCCCACCGAGAAATACCTACAAAGGTCAAAGCTCTGAACAATGAAGAAGCAAGCTGGTGCTTGAACTCCCTCGTAAACCTACAGGATGAAGGGAGACAAGACAAGATCTACCTAAAGGCTTGTATGTACAAACCTGTCATCTTCTGTAAGGAGGAAATCGGTATACTAACATGGCTACAAGTAATCAGAGATCTAAAAGATGGTGTCATGTGACGGGTGACAGATTTTCGAATGTCGAATTGTGTCACATTTGTACCTGGACGTGATGAGGCATATCTGCTGGATCCGTTGGACACACTACACCTGACATCTTCGACTGGTCGAATGATGCATAAGCTGGCAATAGTCGAAATTCACAGGTGTTTCAAGTCTTCTCGAGATCAAGAGGATCCTGAGCCAGTTCTTGAGCTCTGCTGGAAGGAGCTGGAAATACAAGAGGGCTAATTTTAGAGGTTATGGAGGGAGAATCAGGCGTTCGTTGAAGAGAGAGGGTTCTCCTTCCAGTCAGCTCGGGAGAGCTTGCGTTTCGAATACGGAAAGAGTCCCCCTTCTTTGGGATATCAGTAGGATCGGAGTTTCGAAAGCTGAAGGATGCTCGACCAGGAAGCTTTGTCAACTCACGACCCCCTTGAAGAAGTGATGCTCTTTGCGGGTTGAACAAGAGCATTTGTTGCATGTCCTTAGGCAAGACATTAAATATAGCTCGCAAGTCACTCCGCAGCTTCTGACAAATTGGACCCTCTGAATTTCCCAGTCCTGCTCGTTGTACAATCTGAAAACCAGAGACCAAACCATGGACATGCGTCACAAACACTGCTGCTAAGAATACATAAGGGTGAGACATGTGCAGACACTATGGCATTTTCTAAGAGATTGCAGTTTGCAAAAAGTGGACGCAACAAGAAAGTGGACCTCCAGCATAGATGCTGTCAATTGAAACTCACAGAAGACGAAAAATAATGAACTGCATCCAACTCCCCCATTAGAAAAACGACAGATGCCTACTATCCCACCTAAAACTGCACCGACTTGGAGGTGAATATACCTGAAGTTCATTAATAAGGTGCCGTTCTATGGCACTAAAAGAATCTATGATCTCTACCTCTGACATTTTGGCCAGAAATCCGCGCACATCTGCTTTAGACCTGGCCTGCCGCCATATACGGTGCTGCTCCTGCTCAGCTACGGCTCTTCGACGTTGAAACCACGGCATAAAATTTGGTCCCTTCAAAAAGCGCCTGAAAAGATGATGCATATCATATTAGAACCCGAATCATTCACCTAGACTAATAAAGAGATTTTCTCCCTCGGCTTTCCATCCATACTCTGAAATCACAGTATTGGCACTAGCCGATGGTGATAACCTTTCATTCAATGCAACTTTTCTGGCTCCCGAGAAACTATTAACAAAATGGTGGAAAGACTCCGGGTCATGAGATTTGAATCAGAACACGAATAGAGTAACACGAGGCAGGGCTGTTGTATCGTCGTAACTTTGACTACGAAATAGAACTGATCAATGTGTTTTACCCTATATAAAGTTCTCTCGTCTACAGGTTTTCACATGGCTAACTCCTCGCCAACTCTGTTATTGCCGAGCATACATCCACAAGATTTCAGAAGAATATTCTAGATCCCACATATGAATTTGAATTTGGTTCCATCAATTGGTCAACCAATTCACGGTTGATGTCGAACTTTGCATCACTCTTCACCGTATTGTGAATGTTTGACAATGTTAAATATATTGTTCAGCAGTGCACCCGACGGGATGTATGACTTGCGCCACGGATGTAAGAAACTCAGCCATTGTCATATCTAGGTTAGGGCACAACCAACTACAAGGCTTCCCACATGACCTAGCCAGGGTACTGTAATATCTGGCAATGTGAAAGAGCAAGATATAACATAACCTGGCTACTTTGATTGGACCTGATGAAAGAGGCAGGTTAGCAGCCACCTAAAAAAATAATAGATCCTTACACATTCTCTGGTATGAAGGTGTATTACGGCAAAATTGAGGGATCCCATATATTGGTTCTGCTTCAAGTTAATCGGGGACAACTAAAACGAAAGGCATGATGAACGTACAGCAAATTCATTTGGGCTCTCCAGTTATGATCATACAACCAAAAGTTTATTATATGCGTTGCGCAATCAACTAGGGGAAGGCAACTTTCATTGTCACAAGTGTGTCTTGCTGGCGAAGAGGAATACCTGTAAAGCTCGAGCCAGTTGCCTCGCAAGCGCTTAGCCAAAAACTTGCCAGAACCTCGTGCAGCTAATCCATCCAGAAACTCATGTGCATCAAATCGAGGCAAGGGAGGGGGGTCCGCGAAAGGAGAAGCCCCTTCTTGAGGTGCAGAAGCTCGCAAGTACGGGCCAAATGGGGACAAAAAGTTTGTCGTTAGCTCAATGAAGTGCCGACGTAAAATCTCGTTGTTTACCAGAGTCATGGATTCCTCAGTTCGAGGAGTCATTCCAGCATCGACTAATCGATTCAGAACAGTTGTGTCCGGCTTCGTAGAAGCAGCAAAGTTGGTCCACAATGCCTCTTTATGTTCTGACATCAGTGAAATCGGTCCGTCCTTCTTCACCCGCGCTACCTTCAGAAGATTTGTGGGAGAGAATCGTTTGAGTGGGGACAATTGTATTTGTAGTTGTAGCTGGAGGCGACCAGGATTCGGTTTAGCCCCGTTTGCTCCATTCTGTGAGGGGGATCTGGAAACGACCTTGAACCTGTTGGAAGTCGAAATCGTATTGCCAACGGATATGACATGCGGAAGGTTGCGAAGGGCTTTCAGGAAAAATAAATTTGTGACTCCAAGGACCATGGGAGGAACGGGCTCACCTTCCTTCAATGCATTGAGGGTCGCAAAATCAGGATCATGGATTGTGAAATAAGGGCGGAAATCAACACTGCAAGGAAGGGGAGCTACCAGACCGACAAGCGCTGCAACGGCTTCACAACACTGAGAAGGAGTAGGCGCAATGACCAGTAAAGGCTCTCCGACCAGCAGGAGCTCCCAAAGCACCCAGAGCTGCATCAAGACACCACGGAACATCCCGAAAAGATCTGCTTCGTGAAAGATCCCTTGTGGTACAGACCTTGCCACGGGTGCAGCAGGAGCAATAGCACAAGTGAACTCATCAATGGGATTGCCCGCTCCAGGGGGTAGTGTATGAGCAGGAGGAAGGTGAGCTCGTATTGTTGTGCTGGCTACTGAAAGCTCCATCAGTTGCCCATGGAGTGGAGCAGGCCAATGTGTGACATCAGCCGCGACCTGTTCCAACGCCTTCTGACCGATGTCAAAGTATAGGGGACCTAATATCTGAACAAGAGGCTTATAAACGCAAGAAAATGGACGTTCTGAGAGCACCACCACAGATTTTTGCTCACCACCTCTCTTTAACCTCTCGTCCTGTCGCTGCCGGTTGAAGACGAAACCGTAGAGATACTTTGGTGCTCCACTACCAGGACCGCCACGACTACTTCCGAAACTTGCATTCCCTTTTTCCCTAGTCAAGGACATACTACTGAGGGAACCTTTCGGTGGACTGCTATTGACGACTTTTGAAGCTGGAATTTCTCCAGCATTTGCAGTGCCAGAATCTCGAGGCTTCAACTTGGGAGATATGACACTCGCCAATTTATCAATGACAGATAACGGACCCCAGAGCCCTTCACTACTTTGTCCTCCAGATGCACCGTCCTCTCCTCGTCCTCCCGGTGATGTTGAAGCCTCTTCAGCTGTGGCTCTTTCAGCTGTTTCTTGATGGACAGATCCCTGACGTGCAGTGAATGAAGGACTACTGTCCTTGAAGATAAGAGGCCCATTGGTTCTGTTAACCTCTTTCGAAACTGGTGATCCCACAAGTCCAGTGTCACCTTTCAAAACTGGCGACCCCTGCACACTCTTGTATCCAGCATCAACACAATCCCTCAAAGGAGACCCGTCGACGCTTTTGTTCTCAGCTTCGACCCCGTCTCTCAAAGGTGATCCTTCGACACTTTTCTGGCCTGCTTCGGCAAGATCTCTCAGCACTTGGGAAGCAGGAGAACCAACTGGAGTGATGTCTTCAGCAGTTCGGTCATAAGCTAGGGATGCAGTACGCCGTAATGTAGAAGGAGATATCGTAGTAGCTACTGATCCACGTCGTCGGATGCGGAAAAAGAAGACGCAATCGTGGATGCTTGCACGATTTTCGGCCTAAAATCCATGAGGAAAATATCAGTCACCAAGGTATCAACACACAAAAAAAAAACAACAACATGTAGGTCCAGTCAAGTCCGTTTCCTCTTCACATCCCCAATACATCCTCTAATGCTCCAAGTCACTTCCATTCGGTCTATCGACAACAATGTCCGTTCCTACTATGAGAAATAACGTTAGCATGGGAAGGGAATTGAATTATCTGGCACTGCTAGAGCATATTAGTTGCAAGTAGAATCCAAGTGAGCGTGGTTGGCTACTTTGCTTTTGCTCTAAGCGGCCTTTACAACAAAGTAAAACGCCAGCTCATTCACAAGTTACCACTTCCACAAATGACGCAGAAGGTAATTCCGTAACAAATCCCAATTAAAGGTAGTACTTTACAAGAAAAAGGATTCCTTCCATGAACAATGACATCTTTCCAAGGCTAATACGGATGAGCAGGATCTCCACAAATTCAGCTGACCTGTGACATAGAATCTGGAAATGAGTTGAAGGCGACATCGAGCTCCTCTTCGACACTAAGGGCACCCGCTGGATGACATTCCTCAACAACCTGGCCTTGCTCAAGATCGAACCTGATGGTACACAAAGCCACAAGCCACCGCCTGAAAGCCGTTCCATCAGACCTCCCAACGGAGTCGGAACGAGTTACTGGGGCTCGATTCATTGTTAGCTGTTTCTTTCTTCAGTTTGTGTCTCCTCCTGTTTATGACTCTCCATCTGAGTTCCAGGGGTTGAACCAATTCCTACTCTCCAACAATCCTCATGACAGCACCTCCAACTGCATGGATGTTTTTGCGTTGTTTTACCCAGACTAGACGAATCGAGACCCAAATCCTCCGGGGTTCAACAGTCTAAAAAGCCCAGAATAAAAGGTTGCAATAGAAGTTGATATGCCGCGGAGGATTGACAATTTGCAGCACCAGACGATAAAGGTACGTGGTGACTTGAGGTACGAGATTCAGGTTCCTTTCTGCTTTCAGAAAACAGATCTTGTAGCCTGTACATCATGCGGCCCCCAATCGATACAGAGGCTGCACACTGTCCTGTCCCGTTCGTAAATACTTCTCTTCACATTTTCTCTGGCCCTGGACAAAATCTAACTCTGGCTATCATTTGCCCCTCGTCGAGATTCCAAATCACCAGATCCCTCCACATCCACTGGTGTCGGTGATTCGCACAACACTGTTTCTTGAAAGACCTGCGTCCAACCGCACCTAAAAGCTTCCGACACAACTCATCCTCCTGTCAAAAGGCGCTTTCATAACACTCTACCTCGCCGCACCTGTATATCAATTACGGATACTGCTGTAAGCAGTTCCAGAACCTCACCACCCCTTTTGCAAATCGAAAACACTAGTCCGAGATCAAGCATTTCTAAACTAACAGTGTTGGGAGGTTGCAGTCATGTGTCCGAGCTGTTGGGGCATCTCTCCAAATATCGAAGCTCTTTGCCAGCCAGATTAGCTCAAGCTCGTCATCCGGCAGCGGCATGCATGATAATCATTCCCGTGGGCGGTACGTGCAGGTGAAAGCACAATTTGACCTGTCAGGGCTCCACAACTCTGATGCCTCGAAGCGTCCGAGAGAATTAGGTCTCAGATTGCACATATTAGGTCTCCTTGCAATGTATGAAGTGGGTGTCTGTCCAAAACAATGCAACCTGCGACGACAAGACGATGTCAAAATCGATTCCAAGTCTTCTCGCTGTTGGCATTACGTGATCAAATGTCTACAGCCTCACAACTCCAACTCCTCGGGTACGAGGACTAACTCCACGCACAGTCTTTGTCTCTGCGTCTCCGTCTGTCACTCAGACAGAAGTGCAGTCCACGAAGGAAAACGACATCAAATCAACCAAAAGCCAAAGCTTTTCTCCCGCGGGCCAGCGGGCGGCGAACAATTCCAAGCTCCAAGAAGGCAATGCTGAGTCGCCTTCACGAGATTGTCCACACTCAATTGAGATTCAAAAAACCTCCTCGCGAGGAATGAATGTAAGATGCTCTCGCTCACCAGCCGGAGCAGTGTGCACAACAGTAACTCTTGAACAATCACAGACTCCGTGCCCTCAGGAGCAGGCCGAGATGGGCGGGCGCAGTAGCCACAGTGACCCACAATTCACATCCGCCCAGTCCCACCAAATCACATGTCCCAAACCCACCCTCACTCACTCACTCACTCACGCTTCCTCCATCCCTCCCTCAATCAATCACTAACTCCATTCCCCACCCTCACCTGCTTGCTGCTGCTACTCCAAAGAGTGCAAGAATGCGCCGATGCTCCCGCAGCTCGCCCAGCCAATATTCAAAACCCCCAGCCCACGGGCCCAGACCGATTCTCCTTTTGCTCCACCTCTAAACCAACCGCAATTCCGTCTCCTCCTGCTACTCCCCTCCCTCCCTCGATCTCTCCTCCCGATGCTTACGCCAGCAGCAGCAGCAGCACCTCCTGCTCCTCCTACTCCCTCCGGCACCCACATTCTTGGGCCTCCATAACTTTTTTTTCCTCCGAGTTTTCCTTCTCTCGTAACCTCCTCCTGCTCCTCCTCCTCCTCCTCCTCCTCCGGCCTTCCTTCCCTCGCCAATCAATGATGAAATCCGCGCAGCGCTCTTGCACTTACCGGCGTCTAAAATTTTCGTCCCAGCTTCTCTTCTCCTCTCGCTCTCGCTCTCGCTCTCTGTGCCTCTCCTCGTCGTCGACTGCCCGATGGACGCACTGCTGCGGTCCTGGCGTCCGGCCGAGTTCCCAGGGCCACCGGTCGCCTCCTCGTTTGCGCTGCTCTCCTGCTCTCCTGCTCTCCCCGGCCGGTTCGGTCCGTCGGCTTTTACGTGCCCTCCCCTTGCCTCTGTCTGTCCGTCCGTCCGTCCGTCCGTCTGTCTGTCTGTCCACTCCTTCCGGCCGGCGCCAGCGTCAGTGCAAAGGTTCAAGTGTGTTCGCTTACTTTACTTTACTTTACTTCATTTCATTTCACTTGACTTGACTTCTATTTGCTTTACTTGGACTTTGGCTCTGTAGCTAGTTTACTGTACCTCATTTCTACTCGTGCCTGTAGCGGTCGGTTTGGTCGCTCGCGGTGCTCTCCCTCGGAGCCTTGGACTTGGACTTGGACTTCGGCTTGGGCTTTTGCTAGAGGAGCGGGGGTGGTTTTTATCTTGGGCAGGGCGGATGGGGCTGGCGGGGCTGGCTCATAATGTCGAGTTCAGAAGCATCGACCTTGATGCTTGTCACCGATTATATCTCCATCCATCCAGCTCCTCCTCCGAGCCTCCTCCTGTGCTGATGTGGAATGGTCCGGTCCCGTCTGGTCAGACAGGAATAAAATGGATCGAGTTCGTTGGACCGTTAATGAGCAAGGGGCTTCTGATGTGGGTGCATGTTTGAGGTTTCTACTCATTGTTTTCGAAAACGTGAGATTTTGACAGAATCCATTGTTATTATTGTTATTATTCATTCCCTTTCGTAATGCCACGTTGTAGTTTGAGATGATTCCAACGACTTGTTTGTCACGATAAAGCTTCCAGGCGTTCGAAGGATTTGATTATTATTGTCTTTGATCATAGCAATTGTTTCCTTGCGTCGTAGACTTCTTTCCTAAATTCTCTCTTATTAAACGTATCCTCGTTGATTATCATCCCTTTTCTCAGGATGCTCGGAATGTGCTCTTGCCGAGTCTTTGAGAAATTCTGTCACAGATCCTGCAGAAATCTTCGGTAGGTCGATCAGAATGCGCTTCATTGGAGTCTTCCAGGGCCAATCCGACTCATGTGTCTTGCTGTCCTCAGTGCAAGTAATCCCCCAGCGCATATGCCGATCCCAAGAGCTAGAGATGATGAGAAGTGTGCTCCGAGGCAAAGCATTGGAGTTTTGGCTCCAGCAGCAGCTGCCCGTAACTAGCTTGCTGGCTGGCTGGCTGGCTGCATGAGCTTGAAGTCAAGTCTCGAGCCTAGTAAGGACCGACGACTGACTCCAGTGCAGTGATTTCCACCGTCCTGGATTTCGGCTAGCTGTCGTCGCACAGACAAGATTTCATCGTTTCACATCATCATACCTCTGTACTTCTTGTTGTACAAAATTTGACAGACCGATTCTTGCGTGTACGTTCGCATTCCCCAATCTGTGGGTCATATATATGAAGGAAAGAGAAGACGCTGCTCTTAAACGGGCCATAATTTCGTGTAAAATTTCTGGTCTTGCTCTCAAGAAATCCGGAAACGGATTCTAATAGCATAATGTGCATCTGCCCATTGAATATTCCTTTTATCACATATTTTCTTTTTCAGGCATATTTCACGTTTGAACGTTTTAGGCTTTTAGCCTGGAACTGAAGAAGGTACTTGTTTATAAATAGCAATAATACATATTCATTTATTTATTTACACAGTTAAATATTGATGAATCTTCTGGATATCATTCCAGCTCAAATAAACCTCTTTTCGGTCGGATCTTGAATGAAATTCTGGTAGGTGTATCTCACATAAAATCAATATGGTGTCACGGAAAGTCCAGGGTCATACTGCGCCGTATGGTATGTTTCATACCATATGGCGCATATATACGATAACAAATACTGTATGTATGATCTAAATCGACTCAATCCTCTACTATGCAAATACTGATACTCAAAGCAATAAATAAGCAGCTGGTAAAGCTGCATTATTCCTGCTTAGAGAATTGTGGCGCGGTTTGGGAATTGCACTGAAGATTATTCGATGCATAAAAACATTCAACGAAAGAATACAATGGATTGGAGTCGTTCCACAATCGAAATCCATATTCCAAACATCAGATATGTCAACGAAGGAAGAACTCGGGCTCAAAGTTTAAGCGAACGGAGGGTAAACTGTAAACTGAGCATCATCGGCAAAAGACACACATCTGAATCGACTTGAATCGACGGTCACTCGTAAGTTAGCTCGGAAAGTCTTATGGCGACAAGTGCATTCAGCGCACTTGTCACAAGCAGCCTGCTCCAGTGCACGTCGTGGGCTCGGTGCTATGGCTGGCTGGCTGGCTGCTGGCGTGCCTCCCGGAGCGGCAGCGTCAGGCCCCAGCCGGAGCCGAGGTTTTGACGAATGGAGCTCTTGTAGTGAACAATCAGATGGTCACCCGTCAACCGCCATCAGCCATTCCGAGAAAGAAAAGAAATGTACACCGGCTCATCATTTCTCCGCAAAATAATTCAACGCATGCTATATCGAGCTTTTGTTTGACTCGGGCTTTTTTCCGCTTCTCGTGCGAAGGGAAGTGGGGGTGGGGAAGAGCAGACCCACTGCTCCTGCTGCTGCTGCTGTGCATGGATCGAAGTGTGAACGAACCATTACAATCAGACAGAAGATCATTTCAAAAGCACGTCTGTCGAATGTTGGGAAATGTCGCAACGTTGTGGTTTGTGACAGAAAGTGTGTGCCCGAGATGATGGTCCACGTGTCCGCACCCTGTACAGACCATGATTGGCTGGGTGGCTGGATGGATGTCAAGTTGGAGGGTTACGAGATTTGCTTTTCCTCTCTCTCTCTCTCTCGCGCTCTGGCGCTCTGGCTTTCGAGCAAGGTCTACCTCTGCCCACGGAGGGAGGTAGGGACTGACTGCCTTTGCCAAGTGTACAGCGGCCGGAAAGTGCTGCAATTTCTCTCATGGGTCTGGCTGTCAATCCGGGCATGCACATTACATGAGGATGAATCCTCTTCTGCACGTGAAATAAGGAAGGAAGTTCGCAGCAGCTCCCATCTTCCGTGAGCTGAGTTCGGCTAATCTGAGTGTTCTTTAGGAGCCGCATAATTTTAGAAAGCTAGTTCGTATCGTGGTGGTGGTGGTCAATTTCTGGTCTTAAGATTCCTCACAAGCTGAGGAGACTGGAGTCCACTTCACTGTTCTCCTAGAGCGCAGCAGCCTCGCCACGGGCGGGTCGAGCCGGTCAACTATTGGTCAAATTCCAACCGTATCGGTCAAACCTGAGCCGCGATCTGAAGTCCTCGGACGGGGCGGGGACTCCCTCGGCTCGGGACGGGTCCTAGCCCCGCGGGGTGGCCCGGGGCAGAGGTTGGGGGCGGGGGGGGGGGGGTGGGGGGGGCCGATGACCCGGTATGTTCGTCCGTCAGGCGGCTGGGGGCAGGATGGCGTCGAGAGGTACAGGACAGGATGTACGTCGATCTGAGACGTTCGTTATTCGCATCCGTCGGGTGATCGTAGGAGAGGCAGGAACAGAAGCCCTCGGTTCACGTGGCCAGGTGGCAGGAAGTGTCTGCCCCATCGGCGGTCAACGTGGCATGCCAGCTGAGCGTGGTGCTGTCTCCGCTCCGTCACCTTCGGAGTCTCTCCCACGAATGGACGGAAAGACAGAAGCACCGGACGGACCGGCCAAACCAGGTGTTGTTGTCCCAGGTTTTACGTGGTAGTCCGACCGACCGCCGGCCCACCCGCCCGCTTGCTTCATTACCTCTGATCCGGACGCGCCCGCCTTATCCGGCCGCGATTGGGCCGCGCCTGAGTCCACAGTGCCTTCGCTCGACGTTCGAAGTCTGAAGCGCAATGGAAAAGGCGGTCGCAGCTTTCCTCTGCGCCCTGCCCTGCCCTGGACTCTGCCCGACCTTCCGAGGATCATGATGAACCATGATGCGAACGGATTCTTCTCCCGATTCTTCCCCACCCCCGAGCTTCAGATTGTTGCATCGTCGAACATCACTCGAATTAATGCCTTTCTCACATCACTCGTTGCGTCGCTTCCTGTTTCAGGCCGACAAATAATAAACCTTCTCCTCGCCATTCCGAAAGCCTGAGCTATCACTTTTCTGGACCCAATTCAAATCGCCTTTCACTCGGAAAATTCACAAAAAAAATTTGTATATTATTTTTTATAGAAAGTGAATCAGGAAATAAATTTCTAGGAAGATCTAGAAAAGTAGTGGTAAAAATTAGAAGTGAACCCAGAACAGATAATTAAAATTTATTTCTTATTTTCCGTTTCGGAACGGAAGTGGACGAATATAGCTGAGCGAAAGACGAGCATCCAGTGACAAATAAGCCCACACAAGCCAAGCACAATAGGATCTCCTTCGGAAAAAAAAGCGCGATTGAAGTCATTAAAATTCTTCAATTTTCTATTCAAAATTCGCACTTTATTGAAAAATTACTATGAGAAATCGTATAATGTACAATTCACCAAGTTGTATTCCTCGGTTTATATATCAAATGATGTAGATGTTAAGCTTACTTTTGGACGAGTGGAAAATCATGTGAACAGAACAGAAAGCCTACTGAGTTCAAGAATTGAAGGTCACGCTCATTTTCAGATTTCAAAAAGTGATGCCAAATCTCGAGTTTGGCATCACTATTTTAGAATCTCCTCGAGAATCTCGTGCAAGCAACGTTCCGAGAGTATAGTCGAAATTGATAACAAGCAACTTCGACTCTTCCGAGATTTCCCTCGATCCTTACGACACCGCCACCTGTCGGTTATTACGAAGGCACCACTCGCAGCGGGTCGCTCGACGTAGCGCCGAGTTCAGGAGCTTGGCACGAGGCTTGGCAACATGTGCATGGGTCCGATAGATTCCCAAGCATATTCCCAAGGACTGATATAGAGGGAGTGCAGAGTACTTCGTCGCCCATCTCGATACATGAAGGAGAATGCAATCTTGGGGTCACAGAAGAGCTCCATGCTGAAGGATGTCTTATTCGGAAGTGAGTACTATATGGGATGTTTCGATGAAAATCTCTTGCAGCAGCTTCGGTGGTGGAGGGATTGTAATGGCTAAACCCCATGGGCTTGCGGAGTTCCACTGCGAAAAGCAATTTCGTTCCGACGGCGGTTTAACGGCCAGAACGAGATGTGCCACGATCATGGAGCAGGGATTTAATATAGTATCCCTTTGCTACTGGAATGCTCATGGAGATAACATGGCCCTTTTGGCATTAACTGCCTGAGCAGAGAAAAGTCTTTACTCCCTGAAAAGCTGCACCATGGAGATCCAGTTCTCAAACAACGAGGTGGACACGAAAGACTGAGATTATAATCGACACCACCGATTCCTCTTAGCCCAATCACACCGAGACCTCGAACTCGAGCAAAAATATGAGCAGGACAACGAGACAGAGCGTTCGCTTGCCATGGCTTGTGCACCAGATGATTACTGAGCCCACCCACCAATGAAAAAAGGCAAAGCTCACCTCACCGACCCTTGTTTTGATCTTTCTCAATGCAGGGGGAGAGCAGCAGATGAAGTGGATTTGAGTTTGTAAGCATGCATCAAACAAATCCCTTTCCCCTACGGAAGATTTGAGTACATTGGCCTACAGTACAAAGGTGAACATTCTGACCTTTCAGTATTGGAGGTGCGATCCCCAATCCCTTCCGTTATCGGATCTGACATACAGTAGTTTAGTCTCAGGTCCAAAACCTCAGTGTCTTTCAGTCCTTCATACGTACGAGAGAGCTGCATGGAATGCTTTGAAGATCAACTGCAAAGATATTTCAAGAAGGTGCGTCGATGCACCACCCGAGAAATGGCCAACGCGCCGAATCTTCACTCGTTGCCGCTGCTTGCGGATCGAGAGCTACAACCTGCGTGGCTCTGGAGCGAGAGCCTTGGGAGAAGGATTGATTCGTTCATGAGAGCACTAAATCATAAAATAAAATGTTGAAGCAACTGTTTGATGATTCCACTTTAGATTTTGTTAGCCGTATTCATTATGAAACCGGCCCCAGTCAAACCTCTCGCTCGAGGTCTGAGAAAGCGAGGGACGGACTCGGAATTTAGAATTTAGAATCCGTAGTCGAGGCGAGGCGTTGACCGGGACCATTAACCACCTTCAATTCTAATCCCTAGTCCAGATTGTGGACTACCCAATTTGTCACCCAACACTGGCGGCTCTTTCAGCTGTTCCAGGCCTTTCTCTGACCGGGATATGCCAAAGTAGCCATGTGCTGAGGGAAAGTCTTGGCGAGGAGTGCCTCTGAACAAGGTCGAGGTACGGAACAGCGCACTCTAATTGCACATGCACTCATTGTACTTGTCTTGATATGTCTGACCCCTTCTGATCGCGCTGACTGCTTGTATTGATTTGATACACCTCTAAAAAGGGTGGCGGGGGTCTAGTCCGGTACAGTTTGAGCATCTTCTTGCCTCGGAGGAAAGCAGCAGCAGCAGCAGCGGCATTGTGCTTCTTATCACCACGCTCACCCAACAGAATGGATACAATCAGGATTCATTAAACTCTACTGATCCGATCCAGTTCAGTGATAAGCTTCCTCCTTCCTTCCTTCCTTCCTTCGGAGTTCACACAGCTTTCCTTCTTTCTACCTATGGACATAACTTCTACTTCCCTAGTCTGTTCTCTTCCTACTGGCTGAGACTCAACTGATTCAGTTTCAAGAATGTGATCCCGTTAGTGCCACAAATCAATCCCTGTCCTGAAATGGTATTGACTTTGCCAAACCACTCCAGACGTGAGTGAGGTAGTTCAGACTACCTCAAAACGAGAGACCTTCCACCACCTGATGTCTCTGACCGCTCAACTACTCTGAAAACTATTGCTACGATATTCATCGTCATCGTCGACAAAACTATCTTCCTGCGTCCGTTCGATATCCTCTTCGTCTATGTCTGTCTGTCGGCTGTATCTCCGACTTCTTGTCGTCTCCCTGTGCGCCTACAAATGCCGGCTGTCCGTCTGAGTCCTCTACGGGTCCGGGGACCTTCTCCCCTCCCCACTTTAGAAGTTGTGTGAGTGACTCTCTATGTGCCAAAATTTGCGTCGTGGATGCTCCGTTACAATCGATCCGCCCATACTGGGTGACCCAAGGTCGGATGTGTCTTCTAAACTTGCACTCATAATCACCGAAGTCACCAAAGTCTGGAGTGTCAGGAAGTCTCCAGCCAAGAACGCCACGACCCTCCTTAGAGGCACTGTTATCCCTGTACATATACACTTTCAGACTAAGCCTCGGGTGGGCATTCACTGCACTCAATCTAAGCTCTCACCGGACATTCATTGACTTGGTTACTCCTCAGCACATGAGTTGAAACCACCCCACAAGCAATCATCCATTTCCATGACCTCTGCGACCCGACCAGACCGGGGTCGCAGACTCCACTGGGACCTGTCTGCAGACAATGATCATCCTGGTGATCACTACATGGTTCATTTGCGAATGATTCAGGCCTCGGGACAAGGAGGCTACAGAGACGTGCTGTCTAGCAGGTATACAGGTCTTCTCCCTCGACCGTTACCATCGATGTCAGGGTCAGCTTGCTGGTGGCCGAGGCTCACATACTCGACGTTGGGCCATCGATTACTAGATCTACTCCCCACACCACACCACTCACCGACACCTTTCCACGCAAGACACTTATCCACGAAGCAGGGAGGGACATTCCGTAAAACAAAAATTGATCCAAACGTGTTACTGGTGTATTTTTACCTTCACTGCACACGACACATGCTTTTATAGGAAACGTTATCTATGTCAGATGTTTAAATAATAAACTGGAGGTGCCGATCCTCGACCACAAAAGAGTTATTTATGACGGTGGGAAGTAGCGCTAAGTGCAGTGGCACCCAAAGAATTGCAAGGAGGAAGTGTGAAGGAAAGTTTCTCTCTACGGATTTGATACTTCTAGTACCACAGTTTTCAGTCCTTTCAATTACCCCAAAACTTGTCCGTCTGCTACCAATGTCCTTTCCGATACTTGTGAATTTGTCCAGACATATCAATTGTTACGTGACGGCCGAACCCGGTGGAAGTCCGCAATAAGCTCAATCCTCAAACTCTGCTGCCCTTCAGGTATTTCACTTCCATAGACCTGAGGTTGCTGCAAAGGGTAATGGGACAGTCCTAAAGTCACAACGGGCTGTGCAGTTAAAAAGGCCAGCTTCAAACCATCCGCACCTTTTCCTTTCCTGATCGTAGATTACGAAAAGAAGGTCCCCAATGAGGGCATTCATTGTTAACCATCCATCCAGACGGTCCAGTTTTGCGATGGAAGCTATGAGAGCAAATGAATAAGAACTGTCTCTGTTTCGGTCAATCATTGTTCCATGAGTCTAAGGGGAGCTGCAGACTAAGATGAAGAGTGGTTCCTATATGACAGATATATCTGGCTTAATCAACCGATCAGTTGTTGTTCACTACGTACATCTTTCTCCACACCATGATCTTGACATACACACCTTCAATTGCCAGTGGCCATGATGATGAGCAGTGGACCATCTCAACAGGTTCATCATCATACCTTGTTCTGATAAGTGTTGTACTCCCCACATCTCAACCCCTGGACTTTTTACTACTTGTAGGTACATTCAACTAGCAGGGGACCAGATCTACTTAGAATACACTCATCCCTATTGACTCTCTTTTCTTGAACATGGGATGTCAACGAGCATGAAGGGTGCTAGAGTGTAACTTCAAGCAACCGCTTAGAAGTACAATAAAAACTTGCTATCTCACTTGGAAATCCAGTAAACAATGAGAAATATAGTGCAGGCGGCAATGACGGCAGAAAGAATGTAGGTATCCTTCGATCGCTTCCGCTTGATAGATCCTGCGTTTTCAAAACCGTGCAAAACTCTGTTAGTACTTAGTTAAAACATTGACCGTGATCCAGAGGTACAAGCACTCCTGCGGAGACCTCATAATATATCTGCCGATCGATCTCTCTAAAAGTTTCTTAGGTTCACAAAACAAGTTCTTTTAGAAAACGCGGATTCGTTGAAAGGCCTATGGCCCACCAAACTGTTAGCAGACTTCTTGCTTGTATCCCTGTAAATAACCACAAGTAAGAAGTACGTACCTAAGAGTTCCCGAATGATTGGGAATCTGTCTCCCAACTGCCTTAATTTGCTTTGAATTTCCGTGAAAGTAGACCGTTGTGCAGCTAATGCGCCCTTATTTGACTGGGCCTGATTAATCACCTCGTCGAGCTGGACAAGTTCATAGACAACCGAGGTACACCGTGAGTCACCTCCCTGCGTGAAAAAACGATCATCTCTACATCCGTAGTGAATGGTGAGATGGAATTTAAATTACCTTTACATTAATTTGATGGATGGCTCCCCGCTCCCTAAGTATACGAGGCCCCGGTGATAAACTTCCTGAAGCCTGCGAATACACGCCATTACATTTGTGATACATGTCCAGCACCTGGACAGACAGGCATGACACGTACCGTGGAAGAAAGACATAAACACGCGTAAGATTATCTCTACACCTAGAGTCTTGAATAAAGACAGTGTTGCTTACCTTATACTCACTGATGTCGTTACGAACAGAAGTCAAAAGCTCGGCGTGTTCTCGCATTGACCTTATGTTCCCCCTCGTCCTTCGAAACTCCTGTATGAATGAGACCAGCCAAATGAGAAAATTCCAAAAGGCTCGATTTACGACTAGGGTCTGTGGCTTGCGCGGAGTCAACCATTAAGAGATATATATCTGAAAAACAAGACGTATAATGTGACCCCAGAGAAATCTACGAATACGACCCAATCATACTGTCATTTTGGTGCATGTTAAAATCTCTATTCGTCTTGTTATATTAACTGTTGCCATTCTATTGTTGTCCAGTGCAAGACAATGGACAACAATAGAATGGCAACAGTTATTTAGACTTCAACGTCATCTTCAGGAGGTCGATTGTTTTGTTCATAGAAGCTAGCGACAAGTCAATATAACTAAATTTCCAATATGAACACCCTATAGCACTAAAGTCGCGACGAAAGATAAAGTTTAGTCTAGATTACAGATATCACACTGTATCGATGTTGTTACATGTACTCATATTTCGAGCATAGCAAAACAGCCTTGGTTGTTTACTTCCAGGAGACCGAGAGGGGACCGATGGCCAATAATTATCACCCATCAAATCCTTGTCAGGAGAAACTTCTCATGTAATTTTTGACGCCTGGCGTGTTCGGAGTCGACGCTTCGAGGTCTTGACTAAGAAATCATAAGAATTTGAAGGTTTTTAAAAGACTTGGCAAACGAAAAAAAGGAGAAAAACCTGTGTAAATTCGTGAAGTATATCTCTATGACGTGCAAGCTTTTGTGTGACGGACGTTGTGGTCGTGGCCCCCGCCACACATCGACTCATTGCGTCGTTGATGTCGAGCAGCTTCTCAAGCAGAGACTCGATCTCCATTTCCATTGATTTCCAAGATCCATCACCTCCCAGTCCATCTCCAGATCCGTTATCATATCCTGCAGATTCGGTCAGAACCCACGGAGATCGTCAAGATTTTGCACCAAGGGACAACAGTACACCCTTATTTCCGGTCATCAAGCAATATGGCGGAGAAATAAACTGAGCTGGTGAAATCCTTCCGCTGCCTCGTCAGGAGGTCCGCTGGAGGTTTACGATCCGGAAGCCAAAAGTACCACTGGCTATACGGGGCACTTAAATACTCCTCGGCAGAATGACTGTCGAATTTTCCTCGTGGATCCGCCGACAGCGTGCCAACATCAACCCTACAAAAGAGGAACTTTGCTACCGAATGAGATGAAGAATGCTCGCTGGGTCAAGAGTGCCTTGAGGGTCACAATTGAATGTGGAACGAACCAATTCCAAGCAAAAGGAACAGTAAGTGAGCATCTCCCTGGACAACGGAAACCCACCATCCGAATTCAGAATTCCCAGCGTCCTGTCTTGCGAGACAGGCTGAACATTTCTGATGTTTCCATGCTGTGGCGTCGGGTGTCAAGTGGATCTGGAGCTAAAACCACCTCACGGCGATCCGTGACACACGACGACGCTGTTCTGTTGTCAAAGACAGAACACCCACTTCCCAGTGGACAGTTTAAAATATGTTTGAGACCAGAGAGCGTAGCGAGGGCAAGAGTCGTGAATTACCTCCGTGAGCCAGCATACCGCCAAGCTTGGCATAAGACGAGAGCTTGACATCAAGGTCACCTTCGATCTTTCTGGCCTCCTTCCGCAGCTCCTCCCATCCGGGGTCCGCATCCTCCATTGCTCCCCTCCTCGGAAACCTAATTGAATCCAGGTTTCTTTCCTTCTTGTCCCCAGCCAAGCACCAGAGGATCACAGCATTGCCTCACTGCCCGATCCAATCCTCGCAAATCACCATTCCCTCAGGTGTACTCCTGGCAGGAATGTTGAGCCAACAAAACCACCATCGCCTTTACCACGACCACAACGGATCAGCAGCCATCCATCCCCTGTTCGGGAGATGAATCAATCGATCGAGCACGTCTGCTCCAGTTGACTCTTCTGCCCCCGCCCCGCCTTGCCTAGGCTCGGCTCGGCTCGCCAACTGGAACAACACAACGACACCAAACAGATCGATCGGCAACTAAATCGGCACCTCCAAGGCAGTGATCAGTTACGAGGAACACGTGATGGGTTCCTCTCTGGGTTCCTCCAATCTCTAATCTCCCTCCTCTACCAGCCTCCCCTGCGTCCCTGCCTTGCTGCTCGATCGGTGCAAAACCTGACCCTCTGCTGATCCATCAATATCTATCCCTCCCTCACACCAGCATCTCTCTCTCGGCGCTCTGCCCCCTCTTCCTCCTCCTCCTCTTCCTCTTCCTATTTTGCTCCACTTCTGCTGCCTGCCTGCCGTTCGTGCCCCTTCTCTAAACCCTCGCGCTCACGACGAGCTCACCGGCGCAGGGAATTGTTTCCAGCGACGGGGACTCCTCCCCCTCCTCCTCCTCCTCCTGCGGCTCACAGAGCTGAGCTCAGATCCGCACTCCCCACAGACGGAAATGGGCGCCAACGTGCCGACTGTGAGACGGAAAAAGAGTCCACATTGGATCCATCCACCCTCACCACCAGCAGCAACAGCAGCTCGTACAGGACACCATCCCTAAGAAGGTGCCCAATTGTGCCCAATTATGCCCACACTCTAATTATGTTCGGCGCTCAGCACGATGGATGATGCTCTTGTGTGCAGCAGCAGCAGCAGCCCATGAAAGCCTGCTCGTGACTCGTCTGACTCTTCCCTCCATATCCATCGCATTCGAGGTCGAGTCAGTAGGGCCGAGGGCGAGGACGCTTTGCAGAAGGCAGGAGGCCTTTTTTTCCTTAGGCCGTTAACGTGAGTCCACATTTTATGGAGTCTATGGCTAATACTCTACCGAGCGATGGTGGTCACCTTCCTATGGTCCTAATAGGTCGTTCCGAAAAAGCAAGCAGAATTTATTTATGAGACATACAAATGTTTGTGTAGTTCACTTTTCATATAATGGTTGATCGTTTACTCTCTTATGGTCGCTCTCCCTTTTTCTTGCTCTAATGCCAAATACTTGAAGATGTATGGTTCTTCTCTTTAGCCCTCCACAGAGCGGAGGTGTTTTATGGTTGTATGTTGTGGTGCAACACAGTCCTTGTTGGTGCAAATCCTATCGATGGCGCTCGTTTTAGAAATTTAAGTTCATTGGCTGTACATGCTTACTGCAAACTGGTTGGTGGTTGTCAGGGAATTCAGAATGAAATAATAATTCTGAAAAGTTATGGGAATAGCCCGAGTGACAATCAAGCTTTTTTTCTTCCCAGAATTTTTTATACAGCTAAGTAATATAGTGTAGGGGATAAAATGTGTATGTAGATTACGAAAAACCTATGGGATTCTACAGAGAAAATTGGAAACTCCCTGTTAAATTTTGATTCTATTACATTGCAGTATGTATATGACAATGAGCTTCTTTCTGAGAATTTGCATGTGACTTTCAGTTTCTCGTACAATTTTCTCCCACAAGACACCACAGATTTTATGTAAATGCACGTATGTTGTATCAAGCTATCCTGAACTGAAACAAACTGAAGCTATCCTGGAACCCTTCCCCACCCCCAGAAATCCACCATTTAGCAACACGTGCAATTTTCTTCATATGCCAAAAAGCAATATAACTTTGGTCCCTTTTTTTTCGAAGGCCGTTGTTTGAGCTTGGATGTAAGAAAAGAGAAAGGTGCTCACCAAGTCAAAGAACAATTCCAAGCTTATGACTACCCAAGAACGACCCTACTCGGTGCAGTTTCAGTTATTATCGAAGCATTCTTGGGTAGTTGACGCCCGAAGGAAAATAAAGCTTCGGATGTGGCTCCTATCGTTGTAGAATCTGGACTTTAAAGAAATACTCGCGAATCAGCCTAAATCTCGGGTTCTCATGGTCGAAGGCCTCATCTCATATCCACGTGTACTTTACATCCCTACCCGGAAATGGGACGGAAAGAGACAATAACAAAATCAATCCCATTTTCCATGCTGTACTCTTTTTTCCATAATTATAATTGAAAATTATGGAGTTTTTTGACCGAATGAAGCCGTACATGAAGAAACGGGGATCCAGGGGCTAGGCCCCAAAAGGAACTTAAGGTACGGGTAGATCCGTAGACGCTGAGCTTGGCATGTTACAGTAAAGAAGGAAATTCCACCAAGATCTCCAATAGCTCACCAAATTATTATTGTTCTTATTCGTCCATTGATTAAGTTCTCGCTCCTACCATTTAGCCCTCTGCATCCTTTGGGGAAATTATCTCGCTGGTCGTGAACGTCACGGTGGGGATAAGGCTTTTATTATATTGGCCTTGCAACATTGTACCACCTGCTTTATTTTTCAGATTTGTCTTTCTCCACGAAAGAAGCGACGTGGAAACTTTTATGAATCATATGACCTTCCACGACACCTATTGTTGCGCAGTTTTTTCATTCCCTTGCTTTCGGTTTCTCATCCATATTCGGCCAATTTTCAGCCCACTCACAGAACCTTAGCAAATGATCTTACCTGCTAGGAGTTTACACTTCTGAATTTTAGTCTAACACTTATCTGCTATTCACAAGAAAATATGTGCACCTAGGTCCAAATTTCCCGCAATAATTTTTGTCTTTTCTCTTTCATGATGGTACATTTTTGGTATTTCATTCATCACTACGGAATTGAACAGGTAGAAGATGCTCAACTTGAAACCTCCAAGTTCAGGATCCAATGGTGTGAAACCCTCCGTACAGAATATTTGGGAAAGAATACTTGGGAATGGTTGTGAACCTCCGATGTCCTCCGTGAGGTCTTTTGCGAAAAGAATAAGGTGTAAGCTTCAATGATTTTGATCTATATGTCATTGTTGTAACATTACATATACTAGGGATTGGCTTGTGGATGGGGTATCTTTGAGATCATCCAAAATCTTGGACATCTGCGACATGGCAGTTTGTAGGTAGAATATATTGACCATTTATTGGATGATGATCTTGTGAAAAGTGAGAGACTAAGTCTATAAATATGATGGTCAGCACTCATGTACTTACTTAAGACATACACAAATGATCAAAATCATTGTGCGAAGGATCATACTAGATCATTCGCATGTATAGCCATTATACGTCGTCTTACACCTCAAGAGATCGTACAATTAAATATATGAGTTCAGTCTTATCTTTGGAGTTGCTAGTTATAACTCACTTTGGGCTTATTATCCCAAACCCTGCATAAGAAAGGTTTGTGGTTAGAAATGCTTTCGTGGGATATAATGTTCGTGCCACAGGGATAGGGGAAAGATTAGCGCACAACATGGGATAACTAGCCGCTCCCTCTTATCTTCCACATTTAATGATGAGAACATCGTGCATGTTTTAACATGATAAAACTCTGGAGAGTAAGATTGAATTACTTCATATCCGTGCGCTTAAACTCACCCAAGCGGCGGGGTCAAAATGTCCCTTGTAACCTCTAGCTGACGATAAGAAAGATTGATAGCTAAAACATAAAATGATAGAGACGGACGAATGAAAGTAACCACAAAATGTTTTTTACTTGGACTATAATGAAATAAAGATGATAAAAATATTTTTGCATAACATGTAATGTTTGTTAAGCAAGCATTGTTTGCTCTTTATTTGCAAAAGATTCATTCTGAAAAATATACATTTTGCATCATTTTTTAGAGTTCTGAGTAATGCATTGGAGCCATAATTTCTGTGGATGGAATTGACTAATATCTCCGGAAATTTTAACAGTATAATTGAAACCCTATATATCTAGACAAAAATTATAAAGTTTTTGGAACCAAAGTATTCATCAAAAGCTTTACATTGTAAACATACCTTGTAGTTATATTTTCAAATCTTTATAATGTGCTGGTTAGTTACAGAAATTAGTATCTGCTAGGATTTACCATTGATTTTTATTGAGCAAAAAAATATTTTAATCAACAAGTGAGTGATAATCAGGTGAGGTTCGAGTAAGTCTATCATACATCCAATATTATCTATTTCATATTTAGCCATATGCAAATTTTGCCTATGTTGTGAAATTCAATATCTTTGTTATTGGCATTGATAACTTTTTGTATCCATTTAATAAAATTCACCTGTCAAATTTTCCAGACATGATAGATGTGCTGTCATCTTTATAAGCACACATATCCTAGTTAAATTTATATTTTTTAAAGAATCTCTAATAAAATTTCTACACTGATAAATGATGATAAATGCACGTTAAATCCAGCATTAGATCAATCAATAAAAAATCATAAATACATTGGAATTTTTTCATTTTTTTACATTTATGAATAACAAACCTTGAAAAAAAACTATCATCTTTGCATAGAATAATACAATATTCGTTGAACTGGATAAATATATTTCATGACAATCAAAATTTTATAGTTTGTTTCAAAGCACTGAATGTGATATGTTCAAATCTTCAAAAAAGCCATAAATTACAACTCTAAGTTAATATTGTTCACAATAAAAAAGTACATCTGTAACTAGATCTTCCAAAAATGGAATAGATTATTGCACTAAATATCAAATCTACAAACATAATCATAAACTTACTATAAAGACATATATCAATAATTTTGAAACACCAAGTGTTAATCACAAATAGATAGATTTTAGCAATAAGTGTAGTTTATAACAATTTTAAATATTTTTTTGCGCCAATTTTGATATGAAGATTATGACTATCATCTTCATATCAAATCAATGACCTATTTTTTTTGGTAGTTTAGATATATTATACATTAAGATTCAAAAGATCATTAATCCAAGCATAAAAATTATTTTTATTTCTCAAATTTCATACAATCATGTCATTTCAAGTTAAGTCAACCATAATCGTAAATCTATAAATTCATTATAAGCTCATTTTTACATTTATTAAATTTTTGGCATCATAGTAAGAAACTTGAAGATACATTTTTTTTATCGTTTTTTACTCTTTTGATGATTAAAAAGTGTAGAATTTTTACACTCATACATTTGCTACAAGATGGAAAAAAAAACTTCATGATTTCATAAAAAATGTATTGATTATGATTACTTGATAAAAAAAATCAAATATTAATGTGTCAATGAAATAACATAATATTTTGAATATGAAAAGTATGTTAATTTGAAATATATGATTATTCATAATAATTAAGATTAAATCCATGAACAATAATGTTGATAGAAAAAATTTCATTATTTTCCAAATTTCAAATCAGTAGTGTAAAGTGTTTTTTTTATCTTGCTGTATACAGATAATCCAAAAAATATATCATGTAGATAGATGTAATATGCTAAATCTCTCAGACTAGCAAACCAACAACACAATGAACACAGAGACACAAGTATAACGTGATTCATCCTCAGGGGCTACGTTCACAGAGGAATACGCTCGAGAAAGTTTACTACTTCGAGTGAGTGCTTCGTATCACTCTCAGGGTATATATACCCAAGATAGTCAACCACTCTAAGTTATTATAAATGGCTACATATGCGGTTAACTAACCTCAGTTAACTTTTAACTGAGATTAACTCCTTAACCAGAGTAAACCTCAACAATCTCCCCCTTAACTCGCATTAAAGAGTCTCAGTAACCTCTCTAAACTATATTATTACTTAGCGGAAAGTTCTAGACGGAAACCTATCACAAGGTCATTCTTTAAACAAGAGTTAACTAAAACTAA